TTTTTTTAATATTCATTGATAATAACAAGATGGCAATTAGGGCGGCATGCATTCACTCGAAAGGAGTGCTGTCGGTGGACCGAGATACGGAAGTTTGCAGTAAACTGCATAAATATAGCAGTCTTTGACAGAATTACTCCTTTTGCCACGCAGTCTATGTGTATCTGTAAATGCTAGATGATTCTACCTGTTCACGCCCGGTAGATATTGTGCAATGCAATCCATTTGAATTTATCTATTAAAAAATTAATTGTTCTGATTTAAATCCTTGTAGTTCAAGATATCGTCTTCCAGCTGCTGCGGTTCGTTAGTGCTCTGTCTCATTACCATGACGACTGCTACAAAACTTTACAAGAAGCAGACGTTTTTCCTATCGAGGTAATGTCCTAGCGTGTGTTGGGTTGGGTGGATCATATGATCTCGGTTACACGGTGATCCCGTACATTTGTTTGGGCTAATCACTGATCGAGATCACAAAATTCAGACTTCTGATGAGGTGAATTTGAGTGGGATCCAATATGGCAGCATGTAACTCAAACAGTCACTGCTTGTTGCTGGTTTGAATTATCCTGTGATTGGTAACAGCAACAGTTGAACCATTAGAGACACATTTTAATTCGTTTGGACTGATCAGGATTAAGTAATTCAGATCAGATGGGTCCATCGCAAACAAAGCAGAAGTTTCGGTTCAGTACCTTCTTACTCCCACTAGCTTTCCTACATGTGTTATATATTAAAATCCACTGTACATTGTGACGGCTATGTTGTCCCCTCGCCACCACACCATTCTTATATCAAGGAAATCATTTTAGAAAACCTGACGAGCTTTGCGTTGCCCTATAGGTTGACCTATCGCGAAGCACCTTTGCCTGCTCCGACAGCACGGACTACCATGAGGACGATGAGGAGGAGGAGGAGGTAGCTGAGGAGGTGCACGAAACCCCAGCAGCAGGAGGAGGAGGAGGGGTGGGCGAGGTTGCAGAGGGAGACCTGCTAGGGTCATGAACAGGACGGCAGAAGCTTACTCATGGACGGTGGTGGAGTTGCTAACTGCAGCAGCATCGTATGGGACGCCGTGCCGTGTAGGTGAGGCACAGAGAGAATTAGGGTGCAGTGTCACACTCTGGCAGCCACGTTTACTAGGGTGATGTGTGAATGGAGCTTCAGGAGCGCTTTTACAAATGTATAGAGAAAGTGCAATATATGTATTTATGTGGACGTTGATTACATTGAAGAGATTATATATATTTATCTATATTATATATATATATATATATGTATATATAATCTGTTCCATTTCTGGTTATATTTATTGGAATCGTTACCTATGTGCCTATATAACATGACAATTATCAGGATAGAAATGTTGTTAATAGAGCCGTACAGAGCTTGAGGTTCAGTAACCTTTGTAAAAATAGTAATATATTCAGAAATACTATCAGTCGGCTGACATTAAAACCAATTTGATTTCAGTAGGCACCCATCTCTTCAAATATAACGTAAACTGTTAAATAATACTGTTGAGCAGGTATAGGCATGAAATGGTTTAGTGATTGACTATATTATATTTTCAATTATTTAATTCGTTTGATAAGTCAACATTCCATCGATATATTAAAGAGCATCTAAATAGGTTGACACAATGAACTAGTCAGTTGAATTAAATTTTTATTTATAAATGGCCTGTTGGAATGATTTATACATTTATCCAATTACCATGGTTTGATGTGAATGTGTATGTTACGATACTGGAGATCACATTACTGCCACTACTGATACAACAGTGCTATAGAGCGGAATTATCTGTAGAAGCAATTTGATGATTGGTGATTTTCCATCGCGACAGCAGGGTTTATAGAAAGTTTCGTCTCTAGCTTCGCATGTTGTTAGTATTTGTGTTTCGCTAGATATGACAAATCGTATTGTTTTCGTCTGCACACTCGTACATTGCATGTATTTGTAAACCTGCCAGCGACAAAGAACCAAAGGAACATGATTTGATGTTACGGATGTGGAACTGTGTGAAAGCGTATTCCAAAGATATTTATAGTGAAAATGCACATGGATTCTTGATGTATAATGGATGTGAAAATTGGTGAAATAGTATTCAAAAATATATAAAGTGAACAGACATGGATATGAATGATGTAATTTTTGTCGGGGTATATTTCAAAATAAATGCTTAATAACGGATCAACGTTTATTCTCTTTGCGGGAAGTCTTGCTAAGGATTGTCATGTATAACTTCATCACAGGCACTTGCTATCCACCCCTCACCGAGTACACTAACCCACGCTGATATCTATGCAGCTCAAAACGCTTGTATGCGTGCGCGCGCGTGTGTGTGTGCGTGCGTGCGTGGGTGGGTGCGGGAGTGTGTGTGCACGCGCGTCTGTACGTGTTTGTGCGTGAGTGTACGCGTGTGAGTGAGTGAGTGTGCGCGCGTCTGTACGTGTTTGTGCGTGAGTGTGTGTGTGTGTGTGTGTGTGTGTGTGTGTGTGTGTGCGTGCGTGCGTGCGTGCGTGCGTGCGTGCGTGTGTGCGTGTGCGTTCACGATATAAGTATGGGCTCGGCGAGCGGCGGGGTTCTATATAGGTTTAACTGTGGATTTACAACGCTACATTAGGCTAGTAGTTTCGCATGAGGTTAGTTTTTGCTTAAAATTTAAACAAAATGCGAATAAGAAGTTTAAAGGGATAGCAACTGTTGAGCATAGATGAGTTTCGTCATTCAATCGCGTTTGGTCATGCAGTACAGTGAAGTGCAACATGTATTGAAGCGCTGTCAAAGCCCGGTTACAGTATTGGATTCTTTTCTTCTCCGGTTTCGCAGCAAACGGTAAAGTGTTGTAATCGACCCACCCGCGTGCATGTGCGTGCGTGTGCGTGTGCATGCGTGCGTGTGTGTGTGCATGCGTGCGTGTGCGTGTGCATGCGTACCTGTACGTGTGCATGCGTACATGTGCGTGTGCATGTGCATGTGTGCGTGTGCATGCGTGCGTGTGCGTGTGCATGCGTGCGTGCGTGTGCGTGTGCATGCGTGCGTGCGTGTGCGTGTGCATGCGTGCGTGTGCGTCTGCATGCGCGCGTGCATACGTGCTTGTGCGTATGCATGCGTGCATGTGCATGTGCATGCGTGTGCGTGCGCGTGCGTGTATGCGCGTGTGTGCGCTATGCACTCATAATGTGCGTCCTATGTAAATGTAAAGTACAGGGGCCCGATATCAGAAACACGCGTATAGCAATAACATAATAACAGGAGTCTATCGTCTTTGTATAAAACGTCGTACCTTTTGAAATGAGGTGCCGTGCAAAAGTTATTATATTTTAGGCTGTATTCCGATTATATTTTTTGCGTTTTCGCATGTATATATGAGATCTGCTTCACACTGTAAGGTATAGACGAGGTGTAGTGGCTCTGTTGTGGCTGGTCGGAGTTGTCCCCAATAATAGTTATTTTGTTCCCGATTCCGTGATCGTAGCCTGCTAGCGTGTCCATATCCATTTCCCTTGTGACAGTAACATTTTTGTCTCGCTTTGTATTTGGTTAGTATTTGTGTTCGACTAGATTAAAATTATTATTTTCCTAAATTAATATATTGCGTTTGCATATATTGCGTTTTTTTTAATTCTAGAGTGACGCAGAACAAACGAATCGCATTGGAAGAATTAAAAAAGGCGTGAATAATTTTCCACGTTCTTTATTTCAAAATAAATACCTCTAACCTATAAGCAACACATTCGTGTTCAGATTCGTGCTCGCCAATTTACTTACTCACAGCAACTCGATCAATGCTTAACACAATAAGTTGTAATAACACAATTACGAAACCTTCAATCACAAAACTAACACACCGCAAAGTATACATTCCTGGCGGCTGCCTTTTCACCGGTAACCAAAATCTTCAACGTTTGCAAGCATGTTCCTGCAACAGTCAGAGGCACATCTATGTACATCTATGCACAAATACGTAATGCGGTGAATTGATATCGATATACAGTCGATACACCAGAGAAGTGATAACACGACAATTACATCTCATCTTAAGTAGATTATTACATGCATTCTCCGTGAATATATTCGGTCTATTATGTGCGCCTGCTCTCATTGTGGGCGATAGTGCTGCAATGGCGATAACTAGCAAAGATATCTAGATAATGCACACCACATTGCAAAGTATAATAATAAACTGGCCAATGTAGCAAAATATAACAAAAACTACTACTTCTTAAACAACGTTAACATCATATAATATATGCATAAATATTGATATATGTATGTACGTACGTATATATATATATATATATATGGACATATCTGTATAAAGATTATGAGTGAAAGACCACTACATGCTCCTTGTGCGAGGCACAGAACAGTTAGATTGCTATATTACACCAAGCCTAACTCTATTTTCACACGGTGTTTTATTGAAAGCAATTAAACGTTACTTCATGGTGCCGTACAACGGAGAGAAACAACTATTTGCTATCACGTGAAGTGATATACAATTATAATTGAACCACATATTAAATTATATTAAATATAACACATACATCTGGCCCCTCTCTCTCTATATCTCGGAATGCAATCTGTGACATTAGGAGCAATCTTAAAATGGAATTTTCTGTAACCGGTATTCTTCTTCCACTAACTTCAACAACAGCAGCAACAATAATAACAACGACAAAGATTTTTGACAAAAATGACATCCGCAGGTATTCTTGCACACATCTCTCGGTAGATGGCGCCGCTAACACCTACAGCTATGACGACACCATTACATCAACATGCCTCAGTCGTCGCCTGATGACCAAGGATCGCCGCTGCCGTGGCGACGGCCCGGTCGCCTTCCACGAAGGTCACGTGGTCTCCCGCTACCCTGTGCACTGTCACCACTCCGTCGCACACCTATAAACCAGCAGCAGACATGTTCAATGAAACGTTTGCTGAACTCAGAGAGAACAGAGAGAGGGGGACAGAGAGAAAGGAATAGAGAGAAAGAAAGAGCAAGACAGCAAAAGTGAAAAGTGATAGGTGAATCGAAAAATAATTCGTAGAGATATTGAACAGAGTAGCAGACGTGAGTTAAGGATAGGCAGTCAGGGTTACGGACAGGTACCACTGTAAAGGGCATTACAACATAACTGCTCATCAAATCCAACCAAACACACATCTATTTAATAAAAGAGATGTCTCTCTACGCTCACTGTGAAAATAATCACAGAAACTTCATCGCTAATTACATGACAGCAACAATTACGCGCGTAGCAACAAAATTAACGGTTCAAAACAGCTGCAACAGCGTTTCTGATTTGAATGCTGGGGTGGCACGCAGTACATTCTGAGATAGTGCTCGCTCATGATGTCACTATTTAAAGGGCGTTCCGGGGTTTGTAATAGCCAGGTAAGCATATGCAGGGATTTTGACCTGTTTGGGAGACCATAGACAATCTACTATTACGTAGCTGCCCAGGGGCGCCAACTCACAAATAAAATGGGTATTGACATTTTGACCGAATTTCACCTACAACTCTGTATGTATCCTAAAGCTAGCAGCACACTTCACCATTTTCGTTGCTCGTACAGGCAATTTTCGTGGTCGGCAATTTTTGTGGCCGTTGCCGCGTCACAGCACACTTCACCACAAGTTGCCACCGCGAGCAATTTTCGTAGTGAGAAATCAAACCCGTTTGATTCTCGGCAACTCGTGGTCACCACTAAATTTCCGTGGTGAGTGGTCGTTGCTGGCCCCCGCACACTTGACCATTTTTGTGGCTACCACGAAAATTGCCTGTACGAGCAACGAAAATGGTGAAGTGTGCTGCCCGCTTTAAGCGAGAGGTAACAGCATGATATTTGAAGGTCACTCACCTCGTGCAAACCATAATCTTCGCCAAGTCCCTCGCCCTGCTCGTGTCCATCCTCCGCCCGGATCAGTGTGACGTTGCCATGGTAATGCTCATCCACCTGGTAACGGTCAGCGATGATCAGCTTCTTGTAGTACGACCACGCAGCTTCCTCCAGGCCGCTCCGCTCGTGGAAGAGACCAGTCTGTAGGAGCACCTCGGTGGCGTAAGCTACCCGCGATTCCTGTGAGTCTGCCGCCAGTAGTTCGCAGCGTACCTACAGCGGGAGAGAGAACGAGATGCTAGCGACGGCAGGGGGGCAGTCTAACCGCAACTTGTCACGCCGTCCACACTGTAGAGGGATAGACGTGGTTCTATATGCTGCTGTATGCATCACAGTGCTATGAAGATCGTACTGCTAAATACTTTCTATGCGTTGCTTATTACTTACTGCTTACTACTTCATATATCTTCACTGTTAAGTGCTCACATGGGTAGGTTTCAAGGTATTGTTCATTGACATTACTACGCATGCACCCTTCACCAAATAACCACTCAATATTTACTGCATCTTCACCGTTTAAGTGCTCACTATGTACTGGCACTGTTCACTGATCACTACTTACTATGGGTTACCATGTACTCTTCACCGCTTGTCACTGCGTATACTGCACGAATACCACATTTACCGTACACTGCAATTATCGTGATATTACTGTAGCAGTGAGGGACGAAGGGTCGTTGTCGTATCAGGTACTACATATATGTACCCGAGATAGTTTTAGGTTGTTTAGTATTATGTTTATATTTTTATATGAGGTATGCTTAGGGTTAGGGTTAGGGTACACTTCTGTAGTACAAGTCTGGTACACTTTGTGTATACATATATGTACCTCGGGTACATATATGTAGTACCTGATGCGACAACGAACCCTTCAGCAGTAGTGAGCGACTGTTTTACCGTGTTGTAGTCGACCTCCATGAACTGCATCATGAATGCGCACAGAGCCTCCGAGAACGTCTCCACCTCGAACGTGGCTCTCTCTGCAGGCGCACGTGCCGAGTACTTTCGCGTGTGTGCGGCAACGAACGAATGCGAGCCGTCCAGCAGGACAAGATGGCCGATGGTGCGCTGCGTCTGCTGCAGCTGTAGTGCCATCTCAAAGGCGACGCAGGCACCGAATGAGTAGCCACCTAGATGGACGGCTCCCATCGGATAGTGGTCGGTGATTTTCTGAAAGAGAGAGAGAGAGAGGAATTAGTGAACAGAAAGAGTGGAGAGAGTGAAAGAAAGATAGAGGGAGAGATGGAGTGAGATCGCGAAAGAAAGAGAGCAGGAGAGAAGAGAAAGAGAGAGTGAGAGAAAGTGTGTGTGTATGTGAAAGAAAGAGAGAGTGAGCGAAAGTACGTGTGTATGTGAAAGAGAGAAAGACAGAGTGAGAGAAAGTGTGTGTGTATGTGAAAGGTCACAAGAGAGAGTGAGTGAAAGTGAGAGAAAAAGAGAGAAAGAGAGAGAGAGAGAGAGAGAGAGAGAGAGAGAAAGAAAAGGAAAAAGGAGGAAAAAAGAAAGAAAAAAGAAGGCTGCTTTGCTGTGACGTTGCCAACGGTCATTCGTTCACCACTGGATCTACATAGAGAGTCAATAACGAAAACTTGCACAATCAGTGGGCAGCTTACCTGGATGTAAAAGGTTGCCAAATTTTGCAGACTTGTGAGTGGTGCCTCTGTGGTACACTGTAATCCGTACACTGGACAGTGCATTGCTGGGGCCAAATCCTGTAGTTGCAGTGCTGCACCCTCTAAGGGGTGTATCAAGAAGTAGGGTATGCCTTCTTCAACCTGAAATGGCACACATATCAGTAAAGGTACTTAAACGAAAAACGCCTGTGAGATTCCTTCTGAATTGTCGCGAAAGTACCTAATATGGGCGCACATTCCGTATACGTAGGCTGTACCTGTACCTTGCCTAGCATGCTCATCAAGGTTCCCATCAAGCCTGTAACGCATGTTGCGTCCGATATGCCTTCAAAGTTGAAGCTAATTCGCGACGTTCCAACAATCCCTCAGACATGTCTCAATGGCTAATTGACATGCCTTAATTACCTCCGCGCAAAGAAGTTGCAGGGGAGGTAATGTAATCGGTCTCGTGTGTGTGTGTGTGTGTGTGTGTGTGTGTGTGTCCAGCCCGCGCGGCGCGATCGATAGCGCGCCGAGTCAGCAGCAGGCGAGTGAGTCAGCAGCAACCACCAGCGAGCGGCGAGTCAGCAGCCGCCACCAGCGAGCGGCGAGTCAGCAGCCGCCACCAATGAGCGGCGAGTCAGCAGCAGGCGAGTCAGTCAGCAGCAGCCAGCAGCGAGCCAGCTCGTAACACATACATGTTACATGCTCGCGGAGGTATGCACTCTCCATGAGTGCCCTGTCTAGTTTCCAACTGTGTTAACTTTTTACAATCTCAACACAGTTATGCTATGTTTTCACAGATTGATGCATATGCTGCCAAACTGCTTAAGTTTATAGTAGTATCTAAGAATATAATTAGTACCTATCTGACCCCAATTGGTACACAACCCCCTTTCCAGGCCATATCCCCCCTCCCTCCACAAACGACATGTTTTCCTAGGGGGAAGCCTGTTTATAAGTCATTCCTTAGGCATTATTCACTGAAGGTTAACAATTGTTGAGACCCTATGCTGTAAACTATTCCTACCCAATGAATCTTCATAACGGGATCGAGTAATTACACAGCTAACCATACAGAAAAGATTCAAGTAAAGTTCATTCAGAAACGTTGCAGTGCCATCCTTAATTAGCATGTGCTACCAAAGAGGTCCATACTTTGTTGAGCTGTGCTTTACTCTCCTTGAGCTTCGTTATAGGTAATAATTAAAGATAACCCACTTGTTACACTGTTAAATGTTCAAGATATTGTGTACGTGTGCTGCCCCCTACCTTAGGATGGTATAACGATATGTGCTGCCCCCTACCTCAGGATGATGTAACCATGTGCTGCCCCCTACCTTAGAATGATGTAACCATGTGCTGCCCCCTACCTCAGCATGGTGTAAATTAACCATGTGCTGCCCCCTACCACAGGATGGTGTAACCACGTGCTGCCACCTACCTCGTTTAGCTTTACGAGACACTGCGTTGGAATCAGCTTATTGAGGTCCCAGCGGTATCGTATCAGCGCCTCGCTCTCCGCAAGCTCCTTAGCGCGTCGCAAATCCTCTCCGTGTCTCGCCTCGTCCTTGTCGGCCTCGCCGCGAGAGATGCGCTCGAGGCAGCGCATCGTCAGCAGGCGGATGTTCTCCATCGATAATGAGAGGTCGAAGTCTCGCTCGAGCGTCTGCTTCACCTCGACACCCATCAGCGAGTCGAGACCAAGCTCTCCCAGCGTCAGCTCAGCATTCAACGTCGCGACGTCCTTCACTCCTGCCGCCACAAAATTACGCACGTTATTACTCATTATAACATATTTTAATGTCAATGTTTACCATGCTTGTGAAAACAAGTGCCGCATAGCGACAGCGCTCATCTAACGTCTACTGCGGTGACTCTGTGGTGGAGTGGTGGGATTCTAGTAAACCCTGTTAGGCTGTTAGTCCCAAATGTGTTCACATACACGCCGAAATAGTGGAATGCACAGAGATGGTATCAGGAACCTTCTCAAA